AACATAGAATTCATTGCTCACGTATGCTAATAGATCGACAGTGCATACCCGCCTTGCATTCCGAAGCTTAACCGATTTGTGAGTGAAGCATAGATACTTTTGTATAGAAAAAACAGCTGAAAGAAACCGACTAATATATTCAGGCTGGCGGCTCTCTGAGTCTTTCGAAGGGTCCCAGACCTTCACTTACACTCTCCCGCGGTCATGTCATCTCTCCCATGATGAGAAGGGCGGAGTCAACTCTGGCGAAGCCATCTGCCGCAGAACCGTCTGCAGAAGTACTCTCTACGGAGCCATCCTCTGCAGAGTCATCGCACACGGCCGTTCGCTCAGAGAGACCAGCACCCCTCGAGATCGTATATCCATTCAAATCTGCAGGGTATAGAAATCAGCCTATTGTAATGAAGACGTCTCGCACGACTACCGCCAAGTTGTAAGTAATTCAAGATCATTCCTAGCACCCCTGCTGTGGAGACAGACACCAGCTAATGCTCTATATAGTGGACGATTTTGGCTTCGGTACGTATCAACATGCCGAAAGGACGAGCCAACAATACTTACTTGACTGTCTTTGATAATAGGGACAATTGCCAGTGTTCTGAGTGTGTCCATCCAGATACAAGACAACGAAGCGTGAACACCTTCTCCGTATGTTTCTAGTCCAGGGCGCTGAGAGACCATTATAAATTGACAGTCCTTGTTCTTCACTTAGATACCGCCGGATGTGGCCCCGAAAAAGGTCACCTACGAAGAGAAAATCGCTAAAGTACAGTGTATGCCCCCCATTCTCTTGTTCCTGGGTATCAGGGCTAACTGCATGGAAGGGTCTGATGGCCACCAGGGTGTCTACCCAGTTAACTGGCTAAATAGTCTTGCACCGTTGAAAAATCGTGCGGTTGACAAGTCACTGCCAAATAAGAAAATGAGGTAAATATGTCGTGAGATATATATTTGTGCTGTGCTAATACTCTTGTGTAGAAAGTTTATCGCCCATAAGCCTGAAAGTACCTCTTACCCAACAGTCTTATATGAAGAGGTGATGTCTAGTGACGAGGGCTTGTGTCAATGGCTTCACAATATTGTACGTCCTAGCTACTTCCTTTGTTTTGGGGCACTATCTAACCGCTGTAAAGTATCTCCATGGCTTCAGCTTCGTCAAAGGTGTCCCCGTTGACCCAGAATCAACCAAGACCCTCCTGGAGAGAATCGCCTTCATCAGACATACTCACTATGGTAAAATCCTTTATCCGATACAAAATAGGCTCTCGACTCTATACTGATTACGCAAAGGTGGCTTTTGGGACTTTACGGCCGATTTGACATTCAAGGACACTGCATATACCACAGAGTTCCTTGGTGCACATACAGACAATACGTACTTCACTGACCCGGCACGGCTTCAACTGTTCCATCTATTGTCACATACCGACGGTGATGGAGGCGCAAGCTTGCTTGTCGATGGCTTTTGGGCTGCAAAAATCATGCGAGCAGAAAATCCGCAAAACTTCCAAGTGCTAGCAGCAATGCCGCAGCCGTTCCATGCAAGCGGCAATGAGGAAACCTGCATCCAGCCCACAGAACAAATGCCCATTTTCAAGATCCACCCGCAGTTTAATTACCTGTATCAAATCCGCTGGAACAACTATGATCGGGCGGCTAAAAAGGACTGGACTGTAGAAGAGCAGAATAGATGGTACAATGCAGCCCGGCACTTTAACGACATAATCACACGTGAGAAAATGCAGATATGGACCCAGCTAGAGCCAGGAACAGCACTTAGTAAGTATTGACTTAAAAAAGATCTTTCCAAGTATAGAATTTGGCTGATTGTCTTAGTTTTCGACAACTGGAGGATGCTTCATGGTCGCTCCGAATACACCGGAAAGCGGAGGATGTGTGGCGGATACAGTAAGTAGATATCCATACAGTGCAATATATCCGTGAGAGAACATGCTGACCCCTCCCAGTCAACAGCGATGACTACGTTTCGCGTTATCGCCTCTTGAGGTTCGGCAGAGAGAAAATCCTGAACAACATAGGCAACTTTATGGGACGCATCGACAACCCGAACTTCTTCCTGTAGAGGGAGAAAGTATATAGGAGTCTTCGGCAACTCGCTTGTAAAATGCTGCCGGGAATTGTGCTTGGAGGGTGGGTAGTTGTACATATTTTGCGGTATGTGGGGAATGTATACCTGAAGAGAAAACATATGCCTAGACTTGAGCGAAGAAAAGGAAAGAGAATTTGCACAGATCAATGGAACCCTCATGTACATACATGGAATGCGACCTATATCATACATGGCCTGAGGCATCAACGGGCAGGGCATTTGTCAGTGAATCACGTGATAGGCACCCAGCAGCTGACGTTGTTTGGTCCGGAGCTCAACAGCTCTCACTCTCTTCCCGCAAGACCCATCCCGTAACGCATCACCGCCGTCCCCCTCTCATTCCCTCCTAGAATACCTGTCTATCCCGTGTCTTGCCCTTACCTACATAATTAATCCTTACCCGCCACCATGTCGACCTTGGAGGATCTCGACGACCTTGACCGTGAAGAGAGAGAGAAGAAGCCCCAGGATGGCGATGGCAACGACAGGAAGCCCTCCGGAGACGGAGACGCTGACATGAAAGACGCTGAGAAGAAGGACGACGAAGAGGACCTCTTGGACGATGACATTCTACAATCGAGCACAGCGGACATCGTCAAGCGACGGCGGATGCTGGAGAACGAAATGCGTATAATGAAGAGTGAATACCAACGGTTGACGCACGAACAAAGTACGATGAGAGAAAAGGTCAAAGATAATCAAGAGAAGATTGAAAATAACAGGTATGGGGTTCTGAGACATGCTGGGTTTCCCGTTCCCTTCTTTCGCAACTGGCTGGGTCGCATTACCCATAGTGGCGAGGGGGCAGGGTTTGGGCTGTCGCCGCATATGTCATCATGTTATTGTATGTTGGGACATTTCCATTAACATCTTCCTCTTTAGACAACTACCATACCTTGTCGGAAATGTGGTTGAATTGTTGGATTTGGACGTCGAGGCTGAAGCCGCCGAGGAGGGTGCCAACATCGACCTCGATGCTACTCGAGTCGGCAAATCTGCTGTCATCAAAACCTCTACCCGTCAAACCATCTATCTCCCCCTCATTGGTCTGGTAGATCATGAGAAGCTGAAACCCGGTGATCTTATTGGTGTAAACAAGGATTCATATCTCGTCCTGGATACATTACCCGCTGAATATGATAACCGAGTGAAGGCCATGGAGGTCGACGAGAAGCCAACAGAGAAGTACACAGATATTGGAGGTCTGGATAAGCAGATTGAAGAAATCGTCGAAGCTATAGTATGGCCGATGAAGGAGGCCGACCGGTTTAAGAAGCTCGGCATCAAGGCACCGAAAGGTAAATGACCCTGTTACCATCCAACCCAGGCAAGGAATAATACCAACACTCATACTCTCTAGGTGCGCTGATGTACGGTCCCCCCGGTACCGGAAAGACCCTCCTCGCCCGAGCCTGTGCTGCAGAGACAAACGCCACCTTCCTCAAACTCGCCGGTCCCCAACTAGTGCAGATGTTCATTGGTGACGGAGCCAAGCTCGTCCGCGACTGCTTCGCCCTCGCCAAGGAGAAAGCGCCCTCAATCATCTTCATCGACGAACTCGACGCAGTCGGCACAAAACGTTTCGACTCCGAAAAGTCCGGTGACCGTGAAGTGCAACGAACCATGCTGGAACTCCTCAACCAGCTGGACGGCTTCGCCTCCGACGACCGCATCAAGGTCCTCGCCGCCACTAACCGTGTCGATGTCCTGGATCCCGCTCTCCTCCGTTCTGGCCGTCTGGACCGCAAGATCGAGTTCCCCCTCCCCAACGAGGAAGCCCGCGCCAACATCCTGCAGATCCACTCCCGCAAGATGGCCGTAGACGACAGCGTGAACTGGGCTGAACTGGCCCGCAGCACGGACGAATTCGGCGGTGCCCAACTCAAGGCCGTCTGCGTCGAGGCTGGTATGATCGCTCTCCGGAAGGGAATGAGCAAAGTCGGACACGAAAACTACGTCGATGCTATCGCGGAAGTACAAGCCAAGAAGAAGGATACCAACATGGGCATCTACGTCTAATGTACCGTTATATTAGACTTAAGTATTCTTTTTTCCCCGTCACGATCGTATCTTCTCTTTAGCTTCTATATATCTCGTACTTTGCCTCTTGTGCCTTGTATCTACGTATCGGATGCCGATGAAAGTCAATTTCGAAAGGGTTAGCATGTTATGTCCTGTTTTTGGTCGGTTATTGGCCTAGATAAATAAACGTAATTACACTTGGGTTGATTGGCTATTTTTTCTCGTAGTATTACAAAGTAGTATAGGCCATCTCCTAGGACTGCTTAATATATATCCATATAACACCAACAACCATGACTAAAGATCACCAGCTTAAGAGTATTTGACTACAAGACGTATCCTAGAAAGTTACTGTATGTACAAGACTATCCACAGTCGAGATTCAGGAAAGAACAACTAGTCACATATTACTCATAATAACACTAGGCATTATAGTAGACCTACAGTAGTGGTCTGGTCCATGTACATACATACATACAGATGACAATGTACAGCTCATCGAGTAGCAAGATCAGGACAAAGAGAAAAAAAAATGAAAGAATACAAGGTATAGTCAAAAATAAAATAACCAAGAACCACCCAATTAGACAACCGTGTCCCAGATTATTTCCGTCCTTATCCGGTAGATGCGCCTTATGTCAAAGAGATAAAGAAATGAAAAGAAAGAGAATAAACAAAAATATGTGCAATATGACGGAGGTGATTCTCACGTCTGAGTGTATGTGCTCATAATAAGGATAGAAGGAGTCGTTGCACTCTTGGTGAACGCAAGTCAAATCGAGTTGAAGAGGGAAGAGAAGGGAGACCTTTCCAAGGTGTTCGAGATATAGAAAAAAGAAATTCCTCCGCTGTCCATCCATAACGCCATCGCCGCGCGCGGTTTTACTGCATGGGCCCTGCATGCTTGTTTTTGTGAAAGAGAGAATGACCGAAAGACATGTCGGGGGCGTAAGATCAGTGGTATACTCGTGAAATCGCTTCAGTGGAGCGCAAATCGTTAACCGGCTAGAACAGCTGTTTGACGTCGATGAGTTTGATATGCCCTGGGCGTTCTCGCTCCATGTGGAACCACCAATCTCGGCCGCTTTTATGGCTATAGTTCCAGGAACCGGTGCAGGCGTCCTTGTCCCACGGAAGTGCAGTCGGCGACGAGAGGCTCATCGGTGTCGAGGGCGTTATGGGAGTGTTGGGGCTTGAGCCAAATGTCGAGCTCCTGGTGATGCCTCCGAAGCCAAATCGGCTAACGGTCGTCGACGCAGGAGATGGAGGCTCCTCCGGAAGTGGGCTGGTATTGCCCTTATTTCCGAAGCAGTGTACCCCAACTCCTGCGGCGTATGTTAAGGACTGGTTCGAGGCCAGTATGTGCTTCCAGCCAACCAGGCCACCATCAGCTTCTTGCCCCTGTATATCAGGGCGCAGGATGAACCGTGGAATGGACACATCCCGTCCCTTCCTCCTGCTACCTACTCGGCCCATGTAAGCGGGCATCCTAAAGTCGCACACGATAACAGGCCCCTCGCCATTCTCAGGTAACTTATCGTGTCTCAGGCGCTCTGGTGAATCCCATTCCACAGACTCGTCCATGTCCATCTCTAAATCGTCATCTGACATGTCTTCCAAGGCACTGTCTGGCACATAGCCATCAGAATGGTCCGTGACGAGTACTCTCATTCCGGTTTCCGTGTCCTTCGCAGCCATGTCGATGAACGTCTGAGCCCGTATCCGAGCCGATGTGAGGTTATTTCCCGCCGGTAAGGCCATTGGTCGTGTGCTAACAGAGCCGTGGGAGCTGCGAGGGAGACTATACCGATCGGGCTGCAGAAGAGCCTGGCCTTTCGGAATGGGCTGGCAAACAGCCTGTAGGACACCAGGTGGCTCTATATCAGATGGTGCGCGGAGCGCCTCGAGCTGAGGAAACCCGTCCGACAGAATGCTTTGGGCGAGATGAGAATTGGGTGTGTTGATATGTTTCGGGGGCTTCACAAATGGAGCATAATCAAGCCTGGTCAGGGCGGTGTTGGGATTGGGACAAGCAACATCCCAATGAAGGTATTTGAGAGTAGATGAAGCGAACAACGGCTGGAAGACGATTCCATCGCTATCTAGAGTGGGGCATTTGTCATTCTGAACGATCTTGAACCGTTCTAATTGCGGCAAGGATGCTAAGATCTTCGAGATCACGAGTAAGGATCCAATATTTTGTTCAACGAGGGCCAATGACTTGAGCGAATGGGATTCTGTTCGTGACGTATATTGCGATAATCCTGTATCAGTAACGCCGGGCAGGTTCTCCAGGCGCAAAGATTCCAATGATGGCAAGCACAGCAAAGTGCTATCCGCGAAGGCTTCTGCGTCGAAATTTGCAATGCACAGGTTTTGTAGCGACGGTAAGAGGCTGAACATGCGCAGAAAGATGCTCGGTTCAAGAGCATTATTTTCGCTAATTCCGTACAGCATCAGGGTTTCCAGGTTTGTCCATGAGGCGTGATAGTCCAGAAACTCGAACATCTGCGAAGGTCCCAGACTTCCAGGGCAAGAGGTGCTGCGGGGTGATCCTTCTAAAACATCAACTGCCTCGCCCAAAAGCCATGTGTGTTCCTTCAGCTTTCGTCGTGTGGATAATGCGTGGGTCAACCGATCGAATTGGTGGTTATACGGAATACTCAAGCCCAGCAGCCGTTCCAGGTTGGGGCAGACCATAACGACCGACGCTACCAAATCTCTGTACTCTTCCCATTGGGTGCTCTGTTTCCCTTGTGTAAATAACAAATCCATCTGGGGGACACGAAGTTCCAGGACAAGGTTGGCCAGCAATTTTCTTTCCCGGAGAGTGCGCCGAAGGAGTTTTAGCCGGCTTCCTCGCTTCATCCGATATTTCTTCAGTTGGGCTGGGGAATCGTTACCAATGATATGGATACGATTGTAACTAATTCACCGTGTCACCCGGTCAGCATTTATCTCCAGTTGGAGTACTATCGCTAGTCTGAAAAGATATCGCACTCACAGCTTGGGCCTAACCACTTTTTCCCATGTCCGACAAGTCAGAGACAGCGCGTGCAGGTCGCGCTGGTAGCATGTTAAGCATCCCTGTTGGTTTGAACTAGTATGCAATGTTTCTAGTTGGTTTAAGACATTATCAAGTACATCCAGAGGCAGGCGTTTAAACTTTGATTCCAAAATCTTATCCAAAGATGCAGCAGAATCGCACATATGATATGAAGGGCTAGGCGAGATTGGGGAGTACACCGTCGGGGCTGTCGACACACTATAGTTGGATTTAAAGGAAGAAATCGAGGACGTGCGAGATGAGACCGGCTGCACCGTCACTGTATAAGGATCCTTGTACCCATGGCTTTGATGAGGAATTGGCGAATAGGACACAGCAGTGCTGTCGGGTCTACTGGCGACGACACTCATCATGAAAACGTGTGTGTTGCATTAGATAGGGATCAATACCAGATCAACAAAAATCTAGTAGTCGATGAAAGAAAGCCCGTGAGACAAAAGGACCGTGTGAAAAGGGAAAGGGGGCAAAGAGGCGGTCGAGTGGGGAACGAATGGGCCACCGGGAAGCACGTTGTCCGTTAGGATGTATGGAGGCGATACAGATCGATCCAGTGTTAAGATCGTTTTGGTAGCGAACGATGCGAAACAATGCGTGGTATAGAAAGGGAAATCACCCAAACGAATGAATAGAGGAGCAAGAAGAAAAAGAAAGAAAGAAAGCACTATTTTCAGAAAGAAGACAAGCTGCAAACGAGGGAGTACCACGCAATATGATTGAAGAAATACGGACAGAGCGTATCAATGACTAGTCCAATCAATTCGTCAGGAAAGTCGTTCACGATGGGGCGCATCAATGGGAAACTTAGCGTGTGCAGCACATACCACGGACACGCCACTTCTCCCTTTAGTTTAGAGTGGCAGGAACTAGGAGAACATGGCACGGCAGTCGGGGGCCGATCGTCCCCACAAGGGGAATGAGGATCGTGTGTTCCCGACTAGCGATGCCTGTAACTCGTGCTAAGAAATGACCGCGAGGCTGCGGAGGAAAGCGGAGAAACTCGTGTCATCGCCAGGACCAACGACAAGGGGGGAACGAACGGGACTAAAAAATCCTAGGGCTTGAATTGCCCCCCAGGGAAACTGCAGTAGGGCCAAAAGGGGAGGAGGGCCGTGGGCGAAGTTGTTCGGGTGGAGAGTTAGTTCCCTCGACGAAGAGGATTGGCAAAGTCAAACCCAAAGGAGTAATGATGAGACTCCCTTCGCATTCGTTTAGGGGGTTAACATATATTGGGGTGGCTGCTCATTCTGATCGGTTAGCCTGTTCGCGTAGAGTTCGAATGAACTTACTTGCATTGAATCAATCCATGGAAACCAGTCTTACGATCCGACATGAGCATCCATGGCTATGGGGCAATCGATGACGAAGTTCCGATCGCCCTTCAGGGGGGAAGAGAGAGAGATGGAGATGCATCACCCATTCTTTCCGCTATGCGTGAAATGGGGCACGTCGCCTAAGCCGTTTCCGATATAGCGCGGAGGTGGACCAGGGTTAGTGTCAGGAACAGGTGGCACTAAGCCGTTTTGGGTGCGGTTCGCAGCGCGCTCGGTTTTACAATAGGCTTAGTGTGTACAGGGGAAGTACAGTTCCTTAGTAAAATCCATCAATAAATCAGTCATGCCAACACCATCCCCCCTTTTTCGTTTCCTGCGTCCATTTTTACTTAAGTCACTATTATAACTGGAAAGACTCAAGGAATAGAGGAGAGATTGTCGTCATCATCCCTCAAGGACAAGAAAAAAAAAAGTCAATTGAAATTATGTACAACATTTACCTCCTTCCACCGTCGACAACCCCCCTGAGACACCCTAGGCATCAACGCATCTACCGAATGGGTCCATCACCAAACATCGGTTCGCCGTTGAAGTAATCCCTGAGATTGGCTGATGCTACATTACTCCGGGTCCGCCGTCTCCATTGACGGCCTCAAGGTCTACGCGGAGTACGGTTATGGCCCATAAATTTCCCTCGTACATATCAATCTCAAACCGCTATAAATATCGACTGGAATCGTTTCACGGAACGGAGTGCTGCGCCCACTTCCCGCCTATCACGCTGAAACTTCCATGTTATACATAGATATCTGATAGAGATGCAATCGGAATAGGCAATGGCCACGCCGGATCCAGTATTATATCATGTTGTGTGGATAAAACAATTCATCTGGAACCCCCACGAGGTACAAATATCACTTACTAACACCGTCATCACATCTTACTCTACCGCCGACTACCCCCGATACTAGTGACCTTTGGGCGGCTGCCCGAAGAATTATACTCCTACTGAAATCAGTAATACTGATATTTAGATCGACCTGCCTCAAGAGCAAGTGGGGCGGCAGCAGTCTTCTTCGTGTAGCCAGTCTGTCTGATAACAATCCCACACGTGAAACGGCACAAGGTGAACACTCGTTTCACCCTACAAGAAAGGAAGGAAGGAAGAAAAAGAAGAAAAAATTCTATACGTAGTGGATTCCATCCCTGAGTCAGGCAGAGTGGGTCAAGGGCCAAAAAAAAAAAAAAAAAAAAAGGCAAGATACCAAATCTGCAGGTAGTGTTTTATCCCGTTATCAGTTTAGGGGCGACGCAGGGTCATCATATCAACCACACTTGGCGCCGGATCTCCGCGTCGACACCGCTTCTCCAAATTCAAAGTTCTTAAGTAGAATTACACCATGCACATCATTTACAGTGTATCCATAGTTAAGCGTTGGACCGACCCTGATCTACTGCTGCCGCTGCGAGATAAAACAACGTGGTGCGGTTCACTAGTTGAGTTCTTTGCTGGAGAGCGTGGACGGTAGATCCTCCTATTAATCATACTCTTATCAGCCTTCAATCGCACTGATTTCGACATGGAGCCTGATGTATGAAACCTGCCCGGAAAAAACTCCGACTAGAGAGAGACTTACATGCAGGGGTGGTTGGAATAGAACTCGTGACACGGCTGCAGTCTGCCGCCGCCACCCAAAAATAGGATACGAATAGTCCCAAACACCACCACAGAAAAAACTTACACAGGACGGAGTACTAGCGGAGAACAACAAACCCACAAGTGAAACCCCGACTATGACCTCATCCTCGCTGATAATATTACAATAGTGTTCGACGATGTGCCTTAGACTACCCAATCAGGGCTTCCCCTGGTCACATCCACATTGACTAGTTAAATATGTACCAGAACGGCAAGTGATAGCGTATATTTGAACCATGACGATCTCTGGCGGTATGTCCTCTGGATAATCTCTCAGCCTTATCCTTGGCAATCTTTGTATCTTTCCTTTATGGTTCAATGGAGTAAAATCACTTACCATATGCACACAAGGAAGTAGTGGGTATTCGCTCGTGGGTAGTCTCACTCCAAGATTAAATGGTGAGGACGTCATGTATCAATTGCGCCGCCGGGATATAGACAGTGGATATCTCATCTATCGGTCACTTTGATACGAGTAGATTATGAAGTATACCTGCAATGTATCCAGAAGGTTATCTGAACCAAGAATGGCAGAGCGGAGATCTATCATGGATGGATGGATATATGTCCTCGGTACGCTAGAACCAGTTTATTCCATAGACCCTACTCGATTTCCTAGAACACAGAGCGCGTATACTAGATCGGATCGAGGCGTTAAACTTCATAATTCATTTATCTAGGCATCTCCGCCCAATGCAACAACTCCACCGAAGTACCTCCTTGCGCCATGCTGCCTGCGAAACGCCGCTGCATCCACCCCCCAAGATCATAGCTCCTGGGCGTCTAATACCAGATATGTATCCCCCATAGATCAGATCAAGATGCGTTTAGTAAGGCCATGCTAACCGTACCGAAAGGGCGCCAAGCCGGCCACCAATAGAAAAGAAAACGATAACTGTCGGATATCCGCAGGGTGAAGAAAGACAACGAAACAGATGGTATAAGCCAAAGACCCCGAAGGAGAAAGGAAAAACAAATGGGGTTACGAGATCTCAAGCAAGAGCAATATCCTGTCCCATCTACCCGGATGGTGGAGAATGGAAAACACCAGACTGGGATGGTAGTCAGAAGTAAGACCAGAACTTCTTTCGTCACATCCACAAATATAAAAGTACCAACAGCTAGGTCGCGAATCACTTGTAGCAAGCAGAAAATAGCAAACCAAGTTTTGGCCTGTTCCAAAAAAAAAAAAAAAATAAAAAAAAAGGAAAAGAAAAGAAAAGCCATGTACATGTCATATAGATATATGCAGAAAATTCACAACTCCAACATCATGCATCGCAAAATAATCACATATCGAAATTGTCATCAACATTGAAGATTCCAGGCTCTCCGCCTTCATGGGTCTTGTGAACACCAGTCATACGGTGATCGTCAAAGCCCCCGGGGCGGTGAGGTCGCTGCCACGTATCAGGGTCCTCGTCCATATGGTCTGTGGGCTCATGCTTCAGATGGTGGTCAATCGAGCTCTCGTTAACAAAAGTGAAGCCTTTGAAGTTAGCTTGCAAACCCGGGGACAGCGGGGTCGATGCTGGCATGTAACTATTCGCTACTGCTGCCGCACGGTCGTTCAACGTAGCGTTCGCATTCGTGAACTCGGGATCGAAGTTGGAAGTATCCGTATCAGACTTGAGTTTCGGTTTGAACGGGGGGATGACCTGTTTCTTGGACAACGCCTCCCAATCCACATCATGGAAAAATGGATGTTCCTTGAGTTCCTTGGCATCGGCCTTGGCACCTAGCCGGTGCTTCGGATTCCGGTTGAGCAAGCCTTTCACAAAGTTCCTTCCCTCGGTGCTTAACGCGTCTCGTGGGAATCTCACTTTGCCGAAAGCGATATTCTTATACATTTGCTGGGTATCTTCGGCGTAGAAGGGACTCCAACCGCAACACATCTCGAAGACGAGCACACCCAGAGACCAGAAGTCAACCATCTTGGTGTACCCTTGCTCGTCAAGTAGAACCTCCGGTGCTAGATACTCGGTTGTGCCGCAGAATGTGTTTGTGGTGTCATTCTGGGCGAGATTGGCTTTGGATAATCCAAAGTCACAAAGTGCGATGTGACCGTTAGCGTCGAGAAGGATGTTCTCCGGTTTCAGGTCGCGGTAAACGATGTCGTGCTCGTGAAGATGCTGGAGAGCCAAGATAAGCTCTGCAATGTAGAATTTGGCACGGGCCTCCTGGAACCGCCCTTCCTTTTGAAGGTGCCAGAAAAGTTCACCTCCTGACATGTAGTCCGTAACGAGGTAGAGATCGGTCGGGGTTTGGAAAGAGAATTTGAGACCGACAATGAATGGAGAGGCAGCCATAGCGGTCCGAACCAAAATATTCCGCTCTCCCAAAGTATGTGCAACTTCCTTCTTCTGGATGATCACCTTCTTCGACAAAACCTTCATGGCATAAATCCGGCGTGTGTCTTTCTTCTTGACCTGATAAACCTGGCCGAATGTGCCTTTACCAATAAGCTTCAGGACCTGGAAATCGTCCGGCCCCACCTGTTTCTTCTCGGTATGCTCGAAACGCATTTCCACGTAAATTTCGCCAGATACTGCAGAGTCACCTGCGCCGCGAGCAGACAAGGGGAACCAGCCTTCTAGCCGGCTGTTGTCTTCCTTGAGGTTAACGCACAGTCGCACGTGACCTAGAAATGCCTCTTGGTTTTTGCGATCATATACTGAAACATCAATCTCGGATTGATCGCCGAAGACATCGCTGAAGATATATCATTAGTGAGGTGCTCTAGCATGACGGGGAAGGAGAGTGGGGTGGTTAAAGCTTACAAGGTGGCTTCATGGTTCCAATGGGGATCGGTTACGGGTGCCCTTCCCCTAAGATCAGGACCATCGAGGGAGCTATTGTTGCTACTTTGCCGGCTCTTCATCGGGATGGCCATCGGCCGCCCAGCTTCACGATCAGACTGCTCCTGCTCCTTCTGGCGTCGCTCAATAGACTCTTCTTCCTCGTCTTGAGCGCTCTTGGAGATCCATTCATTCCATTCGAACACGCAAACAACATAAGGATCAAATCCTGGCTTAAGCCCGCGGCCTTCGGAAATTTTCACATATAAGTTACCCTTGATCGGAGCCACTGGCGGGCCTGACGGTTGGGGGGTTTCGGCTGGAGATGGAAACGCTTCCTCAAGTTTTCCGGCGATTTCATCAGTAGATTTGTCCATCTCATCGACCTGCTGTGTTGGCTCTGTCGATTCAGGCGCCGAGGTAGCCGGTAGCTTATCGGTTTGTGACCCTTCGTTGGACATGGCACGTGGGGTAAGCGGTGGGGTATTCTTTAAACGTGCAAGATCAGACACACTCCCAGTTAGCTTCGCAAGGTTCTCAGAAGACAAAGAAAGGTGTGGCTTCTCATGCTCGAGGAGGGGAACTTCCGATAAACACATCGGGTCAGAGGTACGAGGGAGAGAGGGATTTGAGAAGTGGGTGGCAAGGACTGGGTCGTCAGACACACTGGAGACTGGATGAGAGGTATGACGGCGAGCTGCAGGCTCAGGAGAAACGCTTGCAGGTGGAGACAGAATGCTTTTCAATGCACTAAAAAAGGAACCCATCCCTTTCTCTGGGGATGACGACCCTAGCTCAGCTGTCTCCGACTCTTTCTGAAGCAGGGAAGACGCAGAGCAGTAAGGGGGAGTGGGCAAATTTGTGGGAGGTAAAGACTCTGGTGAGATTTCCTTTGCTTCGGCTTCTGAAGACTTCATCCCCGATGCCTCGTCACGCTCCATTATGACAAAAGACCCTGAAGACGAGGAATGGTGACCAGTGCTTTGGTCATCCCGTGTCCCTGTGACGTACGCGCTCGACTGAGCCAGGTGCGCGAAGGCAGCCGTCTCAGAAGGAAAGAACTGTGATTTGGGAGGGTAAAGCGGGCCATGGGAAGCACCAACCTGGAAGAAATTGTGCATTATGGAAGGCTGGCGCTTATCCGAGAACTCGGGCTGTGGAGTAGCCATCCCGGACGGGCTCGGACTGTTTGAACCGATCTGATCTTGGTTATCGTCGTCCTGTAGACCATTGCTGACGGAGCGGTTAGCCATGGATGAGAGCCGCAAGTGTGGATTGAAGCGCTTGAAAAAACACAAAAATAATGACATGGTGGTGATGGCATGCCATGGGAGGTTCAATCAAGGAGAGGTAACATGGTCGTAACCCAACATGGAGTTGAGTCACAGCACCAGGCCAGATGCGAAAGAAAGCTAAAGCTGCATCAAGCTGCAGGTCTCTTCCAGAAGGCAACGCTAAGGCTGACATAAATGCGCAGATGTCTTCCACCCAAGGCAACACAATCCATGGACAGCAAAGCATAAAAGTAAATGCCTCACGATGCAATGGTGCCAGGACTGTGGGCTTTCAGGTAGACAAGGCTTTTCTTTTCTTTTCTTTTTTTCCCTTCTGCCACCTGACCGCAAAACAAACAAGACAAAGAGACCACGAGTTTCTTTATTTCAACGATCTTGCAAAGAGACACATTCTAGACCAGCGTTGGGATTGAGCGAGACTCAGATTACTCACTTCTGGGTTTTTAGCAAGCCAGCATCTCCACGCAATTCGGATCCGTTTTGAATGGTAGCCATGGTTTATGTTCCATTCGACACCCAAGAAATCCTCCGCTTTGCACACGTTGATAAGAAGATGGCGCGATAGGTCACGTCGAGACTGCAAGAAGCGGATGGTGCGGGTGACCGGTCAAAGTGCGGAAGTTGAGAAGAGAAGAGATAAAAAAAATTTAGAAGAAAGAAACTGTTCACACCGGCAGACAAATGTCGAGCTAAGGAAGTTTGCGGATAGATGGATCCGACCGGGATCGGATCGTACCAAGCACAGGTGGAGGGATGGAGGGGCTGAGGCGGGATGACCGTCGACTATGGTTGGGGGTTAGAAAAGATTTGGTCGGTTCCTCAGAAGGCGTGTATGAGGATAGAGAAGAAAATTGATAGAGAAAAAGAAGCTAAGACAGTGTGATTCACAGGGGCAAAAGGAAGAAAACGGAAACGAGGCAGTATTACTCAGAAACCAAGGATCGGGGCAAGGTGAAGAAAAAAAAAAAAGCCAATGCAGTGACAGTACTGTGTCTGTACCTTTAGGTTAAGGGTAAATGGGTCGGAGGGATCTCACACTTGCAATGTGTGGCCGAGCGAACCTTGGGTTTAGTGTCAAACTCTGGGCCCATTTAAATTGGGCGAACGGCGGCGGACTGCGGGATTTCCCCAGAAAGAACAACACGAAAGAGGCCGAGCAAGTGACAATAAGAATAGTCAAATAATAATCGTAAATAAAAATAAAGATGAAACAAAACGAATCAATGACAATTGGAAGAGCTGAATGGGTGACCAGCCCTATTGACTTGTACCCATAGAAAAATATCAAAAATCAACAGGGTGGCGTTTTAGGGCCGAAAGCTGAGCATCCAAGGCATAAGCTGCCGCTGATGCCGCTGAGTAGATGGCGGACAGTGAAGAGCGCGGTACTTCGTACTAGGTCAGGCAGCCTACCAGCACTAAGGTACCTACTAAGCAACCAACGCGGGCCTCACTAATCAGAAGAAGTAATCAGAGTCTTGTCGTGAGGGGAAACCACAAGAGAATTAGACGGGGAGTCAGATATAGTATAAATAATGGAAATGAATTGAATAAGGGAGATCAAATGAAAATCCGATCACTAAATAAATAGATAGAACCTTCTCCTTTTTTTTTTCCTTGGATATTGAGTAATACTGAATACTCTTTCTTTCTTTTTCTTTTTCTTTTTCTTTTTCTTTTTCTTTTTCTTTTTCTTTTTCTTTTTCTTTTTCTTTTTCTTTTTCTTTTT